TCTTCGGCAACGAAGTCGTACTACCAAGTTATCGCTGCAGTTAACTCGATAACCGGTTAACTCCGCGATCGTCGTATCGCAACAGAATTAAGAGCGCGCGAGGAGGCTGCGCGCGGATTGCCGAGTCACGAGGGAAGTCCGTATTCTGGAAAGAGGGTCGGCAATTTATTGGCGCCATCGCCAAGAACTTCGCGCGCTTCGTAGGATCGCAATATATCAGGGGTAGTTGAAAAATCGAGTTTGACACGCGCGCAAGTTTAACGCACACTAACGTTCCGTAGAGCGCGCGTATATCTGTTATACAAAGAATAAATCTCTGTAACAATTGTTTTTAACATTCCCAGTTATCGCTCGGTCTTTTAATTGTTTATTTTCTTACCGTATTTTAAAAACGAGCTATATTTTTTATTTTTCTATGCTAAAGAATCGATTTTTACACACAACTTGCGTCTCGTCCGTTTAATTATTTTCATAGGCGGTAAGTTTGATCTCGTATCTTGTTATTTTCACGTGTCAGTGTCAGTCTTTTAAAATACAATTATTAGTCATTGTTAAAGGAGTTTAAAGAGAATTTTGTTCGGTCGATGATCTTTTAACAAATGAGATCGGATAGCCTCTCTTTTGTGTGTGTGTGTGTATGTGTGTTTGAAAATTTAACGACGCACACACAGATCTCTCTCTCGCAATGTCTTAAACTCACCTAACGATGTTCCTGCATGCGCATCGAAGTCTCCGGAGATGTGTTTCTTTCTCAGTTGAAGGCGTGTGCTTCCGCAAGCACTATATCGCCGTAACGCATGTTTTATTAGTTCACTCCGCTACTTATTCGATTTCCAGCTTGAAGTTATTGCGCAATAAATGTGCAAATGTTTCTGTCGGAAGATAATATTTTTTTCTTCATCGGCACGACCGAACAAATGCGATGCAGTTTTCTTCGAATAAAAAACAATCCGCAAAACGATCAAATTGTTATAGAACTCACACTTGAAAAAACGTGTTCAAAAGTTTATCCGCGCGCGCGCGCGCGCGCGCACGCACACACACAGTTGACAGGTTCTTCTTTTGTTAATTATTTTGACATAATCCAATCTTGTTTAGCGTTTTATCTCGGTCGTTCTTTTTCGCGCATACCATTACGTTTTCCATCCACGTCCAACGATCTACGACTCTCGTCGTAGCAACAACAGTGTTTCCTTATATCCAACTTGTGCTCGAACAAAAACGAAAAAACAGAGTGCGAGGATGCGTCGTACAGTTTCCTTCCATAAATCTTCACTTCACTTGCATACTTGTTTACGTACAACCCAGTTCGTGGGACGTTCGCAGAAAGAGAGCGACGGAAAATGCTAAAACTGTAAACGTCTAACTGTATCTCCCGCGAGAATTGGAAAAATCATCGTATACGGAGAGAGAGAGAGAGAGAGAGGAGAGAGAAAGAGAGAAAGAGAGAGAGATCATTGATCCTTGATCCTTGTAACGACGAGGCCTCCGGGATCCTCGTTTGCCGGAATGATTTTTTGCCTTTCCGCTCGATCGATTCCGACCGGCGTGGCGCGGTGATCACAGCCGACTCCCACTTCCTCGATCACTCGTCCAGCAACCCCGCGGCGTAATCCAACTCGGCACGCACGTCGGAATCCGAACGTACTGCGTGGATCGTGATCGTGTGCGAGACGAAACGGTGTCGCGGCGGTGTCGCGGCGCGCTCTCGAGAATCTGCCGGAAAAATTTTCCGCTATAGGTAGGTTACTTATTTCGAGACACCGTCGATCTATCCGAGACATTTTATCAGCGACGAGCCACGCCTCCGTAAATTGGTTCCGAGACGCGGACTCGTCGTTGTCTTCGACGTTGATGTGATTATCAAAAACGTAACACGATAGGAATTTCATAAATCGAGTGAACGGGCATACAAAAGACATTTTCACTGAAAATTTTTTTCTATCTTTCTCTCTCTCTTCCTCTCCCTCCCTCTCTCTCTCCCTCTCTGTCTCTCTTTCTCTCTCTCTCTTTCCAACAAAAAAATATATTGGTATCTATGTGTGTTGTCGATACTCAAATCGCAATTTAATTTGAACAGCAGGACATCGATTGATCAGAAATCGAATAACATGAATTTAGGATCGAGAACGATCAAATACTGCAAGAATTATCGACGCGAGTCGTCGTGATTGTGGCTTTCGTTATCTCACGTTCGATATAGCGAAGCAAACTGTGGAGGAAGAAAATTCATCTCTCGCAAACTTTTCTTCCTCCGTCGCTCTTTTCAACCACTATATATACATGACAGCTCGAGTGTAGTTACGCACGATCATTCGCCTCGGCCGACTCGGGATCACCGGGAACGAAAAACACGATCGGCCGCATACATCGGTTCTTTTTTTTCGAACTTGCGCGCGTGAAAGAGTTCGTTCGAATGAGATTGCAAAAGAAAGTGAGAGGAGAAAAAGTTGCGAACGGACTCGCGGCGAATTATTATCTGTCCTGGGACAACTTCAACACTCCAGCTCGTCCAAGCATCAGCGAGCGACTGAGGGCTGCAGACAGCGGGCCCAGAAACGGAGCCCGCCGCGCCACGGCCCCGGCTCTTGAGAGCTCCCCGCGCGCGCGCGCGCGCGCTCCGTGTTTCAGGACCAGTTCGGTCGCTTCGCCTCTGCGAGGGAAGGATGCCGCGCGCTCTCCGCGCGCGGAGGACTCCCCACCTGCGCGCGGGGACCTATGTCCTACGTCCTACGTCGTGCATTCCGAGTCCTGCGCGAAAGAGAAGGTCTTCCTCACCTGATCTCGACGCGCGCGCACGCATTTCGCATTCTCGATCAGAACGCGCGGAAAGATTGCGCGCATCTTCCACGCGCGTGACGCACGCGGTGTTAGATTAGGTCCATGTTAAAATGTTTCAAAATAAATTTATTTTTAATGTGCATCAGAGAAAAAAAATGGAATTATAAGAGATTCCTTCTGGAAGATCTAACGTGCGTAATTGAACGTTTTTATTAAATCGAATTTATTAAAACGTTCTTTTTAAAAGAAGAAGGAGAGCAGGAAAGACGAGAAACATATCGTCAATTAGTAGTGAGTAATCAATTAAATCCGCGTATCCTGAATGGAATAGCTCGCAAACAACGTGACGCAATAATTCGTGTGTAGTGAAGCTGTGGATTCGCCTAACTCGCGTGTTCCCTTCCCCCGCGTCCGTTCCTGCTGCCAATCGCGTCATGTGCCCTCTGATGGCCCACCTGGCCCAACCTCTTCGCGTCCGACGGGAGCCAATCGCGTGTCTAACGTACGATCTAATGCTTCGCTCGTAACGGGTGTCGAAAGTGGAGGGAGATCGTCGCGCGCGCGAACGAGTCGCGCTCGAGTCGAGTTAGATCGTCGCGTTCCACGTTATCATTCATTATCGCCTCTGTGACCGGAGAGAATTCTATTATTGAAATTTCTTTTTCTCAGAATATGGGAGACAATCAACTTCCGATTGCCCTCACTCACCTTCTTCGAAATTCTCTCGTGCGATCGAAGCGAATAAATTTTGAAGAATTGCGTGTGACTTTTGTTTTTTTTTTTTTTTTGTTGTTTAGGTTCAATATAAAACACAGAGCTAGAGAATTATGCTCCCTCTTGTTTTATAAATTACATAATTTTATCGAAGATATACGCGAGCGTATACGCGAGCGCATGGGAGCGTCTTTTGAGATTGGTACGAGAATCAGGTTCGGTAACTCGCCCCATCCATCACTAACCCGGACAGCCAGATGTTCGCAGGGGGTACAATGGTCGTGTAAGGTATTACCCCTTCGTGCATAATGCCGCTGGCAGAAATTATCCAGCCAGCACCCTCCGCACGCGGAGCCGCTCTTTCGACGTACAGAAAATTTTTGGATTTTACGTCTCGTAGCGTCTCTTCTCTTTCTGTGGGACGGCACAGCCGGGTGTCGGAAAAACTGCTTCTTTTGATCGTCTCCGCGCTTCACAATCAGCCGCGCGTAAAATAAGCAGTTTTGTTGATGAAAATATTGACCCTAATTCCGAACCCTGGTTTTTTTTCTGGCATCCCCCTTTCCCCCCCCTCCCCAAAAAAAAGGTGAATCGTAAGTCTGACGCATTTTCGCAAAACGTCTGGCATCTTTCTTCAACATGATCTAGATGTTGTTATTTATAACGAAGAAACAGTCTTATATATAATTCAGTTTTAATGAGTTTTAAAGAGAGTTTGGAAAGATGCTAGACAAAAAAAAGACCCAACGGGTTTAGGGGGGGGGTGACTTAATCGATTCAACGCTTTCAATCTCTGGTTATGTTTCGCACATTTGTTTAAATTGCTCTCTTGTAATAGTCGCATCAGACACGAGTTGCTGAGAAAACGAACGCTATCTAGATAGGAACACAACGTATAGATCGTAGTAGCGATTATCGTAGCTCTTCCTCTCTTCCCCCTCTCTCTTTTTCTCTCTTTCTCTCTCTCTCTCTCTTCCTCTCGAATATATTGTCTCTTACATCGAGGAACACATCCTCTGCAAGACAGAACTCTGCCGCAGGTGGTACGGCCCACGAAGTGCGCGGCGCGGCAAAGCGTTTTCGCATCACACACGCATCGTCCGCTGACCGGTTCAAACCGTCGCGTTGTGCTCAGACCACGACGACGGTCGGGGCCCCACCGATTCACCGTGGGAATGAAGCTTTCAATTAGCTGCTATACGGCGCGAGCTAAACGATTAAGCTGCAATTAATCGAGCGACGTAATGAAGAATTAATGTTTTTTTCAGAAGAGACACACACACACAAGAATAACTGTGCATTTTTTTTTATCCGTATAGAAAACAAGAAATGCGTGCGCAAACTTCGTTTACAAATTCTCTTTTGCAAGATTCAAAGTAATGTCGTTTTGAAGATAAAGTTTTTGCTCGAGATTTAACAAACAAAAAATCCTTTCAAAGTTTTCTACGTTCAATTAACGGCGCGCGTGTACATAGTGTTTTTTTTTTTTTTCAAATTTTGTTAAGGCAATTTCACGGAAATGGTTTTTTCGATCCGATCGGCAAGAGGTCAGCGATAATAGCACGGAGCAATGTGCAAACGTCAAATTGCGTTTACTGCAAAAGCACTTTGTGCAAAAGCAAATCTATCAAGGGGACAGATTCATACCGCAGCGATATGGATACAATTACGAAATGTCTCACCACTTGCTCAAGAAAGAAAAATCCAGTAACACGGAGAAGTACGTGATAGATATTCTCAAGCAGGTATGTGCAAACGCACAAAAAAAAAGAATGTACTTAAGTGGTGTTTTTCATATAAATTTTTGTTGAAGAACAGATAGATTTGCTGGACATTACGAACCAACGTGAAACAATGCGAGCAATGATGTTAGAGCACAGCTTCATATCGGGTAATAAATTTTGTATAGACGTTTCTTCTTCCTTTTTTTTTTTTTTATGTGCAGGAATGAAATGTTCGAATTTTTATTTCGCGCGAGTTAGGTCTCAATCAAAAGAGGATTCTCAGTTTCTCAAGTGTTACTTCAACGGAACAATTGCTGAATTCGAATTTCTCCGAAACCAACGGAAGTTGGAAGTGCATACCGCGTAAAAAATGTTTGATAAAAAGCCCGGAACAAATATTGTACATATCCAACGAGGAAACGAGTACGTCGCTATTACCGTCTCTAATCAAATCGAAACACAATTGACTGCTCGACTTTCTCGTTACTTGGATGTTTTTTGTTTTTTTTTGTTTTTCTGTCAAAGGTGAGGAAAATCTGATCGATTGGAACTGCAACGACATGATCATTATTATCCACCAAAAACGTGTGAAAATATACAGTAATAATGGCTCAATGGTGAACGTTTTGGACGGAGATTATGGCAAATGGAGCAACGACGGTAAGTGTGAAACACGTGATATGAGATATATGTATATGTGTATTGAATTTTTAATTTTTTGTAACTTCTCTCACAGAAATAGAAAAAAAATCAATTTTACAACGCAAGAGAAAAAGAGCGTGTTTCTGA